TTGAGTTCAGAAAATTAAATAATAGACAATTTTCTAAATGCACATGAGAATAATTTGAATATTAATTAATTTATATTTTTAGCCAGCACTTTTTGAATTTGTTATATATTCCCCAACTTGTAGTTTACTAAGTAGTATTTTTATAAAAATCCCACTTGGATACAATAATAAAAAAAATGTATCACTGCAAATTATCTCTTCATAGGCATATGCAAATTTAATCATTGAATATAGAATTTATTTCCTTTTATATTTTAGAAATGGTCGACAATTTCAATTGTTTTGACTCGAACTGTTCAAGAATAGATAAACACGTGAAGATGAATAATTAAAAATAAATAGACGCACGCCGTTTATTTATTATTAGTGATATTATCTACTTTAATCTTCAGAATAATGTGAAGCCTTTATTTTTATAAAAGAATTTATTTAATATTATCGCACTTTTAATTTATCGATATAATCTGCTTATTATACATTATTCTTTAGCTCTAAATATCCATCATTAGTGTTTATTACCTGCACATATATGTCTAAGTTACACTTATTATACATCATAAATTTTGATTGTTATTAATGAATATTTTTAAAATTATAATTTAAGACAAAGTTTAATAGTGTGGTTGAAATAGGTAGTTAAAAAAGACAATTAGAATAAGACGGGGTCGAGAGGAGTTTGACTTTTAAAGTGTAATCGATATTTACCGTACATCAATTGGTGAAAATAAATAAATTTTATTCAATAAGGATTGTGGTGAAGTAATAAGTTAATTAAAAGTCTCGAATTTGAGTTTTTTTAAGTATAAAATCGCCTTTGTTAAGCTGCATTTAACCCTTCAATATATATTTTTGACGTGAATTTAAATTTAGTAGGGTCCAATGCAAATAAGACTCTGAATAAAAAACAAAAAAATGTTAAATTATATATATTAACATGCTCTTTAACTTAGCTTTATCTGATATCTATGTCTTCCAATTTTGGGTGTATACCAGTAGATACTTAAACTTGTATAGAATTCATGAATAAACAAACACATATGTCCTACTTGTCGTCCTACGTAGCAATTCACGTCCTATGAAGCATCCTACGTGTACTATGTTAGCTCCGGAATGTCGAGTTTGGTCTAGATTGACCCTTCTTTTGTGTCTTGAGGCCTCCAGACTTATTTCGAGCCCTTTTGTGATTTTTGACTTAAAATGGCGGTTGGGTGTGGGACCCACTTTTTTGTTAAGATGACCTCGTATGGAAATTTCGACTACGCCATTGAATCCGGAATATCAATTCTGGTATGGTTGCATATCTCGTTTGCGTGCATGAGATTTCGAACGAGTTCGGAGCACCCCGTCGGAGTTTTTAGGTTTTCGAAAAATATGCTGAAAATCTGATATATAATGCAGAAAATCAGCAGCCTTTCCAAAACTTTAAAACCTCCTAACTCCCTCATCTCTCAACTGATTTAGGCGATTCAAAGTGCGGGAGCTTCGTATTCTCGATTGCTTCGCTGTAGAGTATTCAGAAGTTGTCGGGTGCGCATCGTTTGAGGTAAATTTTGCGATAAACCTGACTGCTGTAACCTTTTTCGAGTTCTTACTTTTGGCTTTCTTGAATTGGTGTTATCTCACTCATTTTAGCTCGGTTTTGGGTGATTCGCAGTCCCACGTGTTGGAAATTATCGTGGCTACGTCGTGGAGTGTTCAAGGAATGCTGGGCACCATTCGATTCTTGTTATTTCCGAGTTTAGACTGTTGCATGATTTCTTTTAAGTTGATTAAAATGTGTTTTTCTTACATGTTGGGTTTTGCTGCGTTTTGAGCCTCAAATTGTGTTCCATTTTGGAACACAAGTTCGGGGTACTGTTTTGGGTCTCTTGGCGAAGTCAAATCCGGATAGTTCGGTGCGGGTCCCACGATTCCCATTTTGACTCCAAAATTGACCCGTCTCCGTTTATTGTGATTTTAGTGTCTAAACGACCGTACTAACGTTGTGATCCTATATTTTATAGAGTGACAACGTTCAAAGGTCATTTGGGAAGGAAAGCTCCGACAAAGTGATTTGATGCGCGCGCGATCGGCCTTAAGGTAGTCTATGACTTCCTTTCTATTAGATTGAGCTTAATTGTGTAAAAGCGTATCGATTGGAGTGAATTGGGGGTGGGCACCAGTTTCCTACTTTACTTTGATTAGATACTTTATGTTAGGATCGATTGACCATATTTCGGGTGTAGTACCATGTTAACCGGTTTAGTAGAGTTGCATGCTTATGTGCTAAATGCTATTGTATGCTTTGTTCATCCTTAACCGTAAGCATGATGTCCTTAGTCTAGGTTAGGCTAACATTGCCTTAGACTTATGACCCGTGTGGGCTAGATAGCCTTGACTTTCTGCCGACGTTGTTTGAATGACTTAGCTCTTTGTAGACTGGAGTAGCAGGCTTGAGTCTGATAGTTTGAGCCTTAGATTAGGCGCTATCGCTGCTTGCTGCATTTTTGTATCTTCTCCCTCTAATTCCGCGATTTCGACGCGTTCTCAAAAGTTCAGTGCATCACTAAAGGCGTGGGATTGAGATAGTATAGGCTTGAAGCCTTTTATGTGATTTCTTAGCGTGGACGGCGTTCCATGATGGCTGTTGCTGGATTGGATCCTATCGGAGATACCATCACCCCCGGGGTTGTTCTTTCTAGCTGGGCTGGGAGCGTATCGCTGGCTGGGTAAACTTGGTGATTTCGGCGATCGCCCCCGAGCCTTTCTTTCTAGCTGGGCTGGGAGTGTGCTGCTGGCTGGGTGTCCCCAGGTTGCTCTTTCTAGCTAGGCTGGGAGTTGACTGCATGGTAGGACGACTCGCGATATCTACCTCACCCCCGGGTCCCTCTTTCTAGCTAGGCTGGGAGTGCACTGCTGGCTGGGTGGCGTCTGATGGATTATCTTGGTTACTTTGGGTTGGGAGCCCGGTTTTCTTCTTTCTCAATAGACTTAGCTATTTTGTGTACATGTTGTACTTATGGGGGTTCGTTTAGGTTTTATTTAAACTTGCGCACGAGTGTACCTTCTGGGCTTATGGGGGTCCAATTAGGTTTAGTTTAGTTGTACTTAGTTTATTTTTTGTATGCTCGTGTGCTTTCTTTTCATATCTGCTTTGACTTCTCTGTGTCTAGATTTTATCATTTATTATTGTTTTTACCCCTTTTGCTCAGTCGGCCTATGATGCCTACTGGGTACCTGTTGTTTTGGTACTCATGCTACACTCTGCATCTGTTTTTGTGATGCATGTCTGAGCACTAGTGGCCAGCGTTGATATCGAGCTTGCAGCAGTCTGATCCGGAGACGGGGGTGATCACACGACGTTTTGTACTATTTCAGTCTCCATCTGTATATATAGACTTGTTTTTTGCCTTTCGAGACAGTCCAGTTTTTGTGGTCCACTTTTGGGACTTATACTCGTTTTGTTAGTAGCTCTGTACTAGTGACTTCTAGGTTCTGGGAGGGATCTTTATTTGTAAATATATGTTTTGATTCGCTTCCGCCTGTTTATATTGTTATCTTAAATTTTGCCTACTCTTGTTTAGTTTCTGCCCTTTTACCCACTACTAGTTGTTTTGGATTTCAGGTTGGCTTACCTACTGGTGGGATATAGTAGGTGCCATCACGGGTCGAAGAATCTGGTCTTGACAAGTTGGGGGCGGACCCACCCTTAGCTAAGGGGTGTTTCGTCAGAAAATTACATTGTATATAGAGGTCAAATTTTGGTTTAATAAATATATATACATAAGTATTAACACCCCTTGACACAAGTTAAAGGTTTACTCTAATGGTTAAGACGTTGAGAAAATTTCTCGAGGTTGTGTGTTTTAGTCCTATTAGCCTCATTATTACTATATTTTTTACTATAACCATTAACACCCCTTAGTGACAATCCTAGATCTGCTATCAACTAACCTAAATTAAAAAATATATATTTATAAATTATGCCAAAATAACTATTACTCTCTCTGGCTATTACTTGTTCATTTTTAACTTGACACACTTATTAAATTTTTTTTGACATAGTAAGTTTACCATTTTACCCCTATTAATTGATAGGATTTCAAAATCAATTTACTCATTGAAAATGTTGTACCTTTTTCAAAAACATCAACTCTCTAAATAAATTAAGGATATGATAGAAAAAATAGTCTTTTTTTTATTTGTCAAAAATGACAAGTAAATAAAGAACAAAAGGAGTAATATTTTGAAATCAAAGACAAAATACATAAACATGACCGTGCACAAGTAAACACTTAAACTTGTATAAAATTGAACAAATAGACACATTCGTCCTACATGACACCCTACATGACAATTTTGTGACTTACGTGGTGTCCTACGTGTATTATGTCATATAAGACACGTGTGTCTACTTATTTGATTTTATATAAATTAAAATGTATACTTATACACACTCAAAATTAAAGGACATAATTATTCACTAAAATCAAATCAAGGGTCATATTCCAGTATTATGCGGAAATCAAATAGACATGCTAATGGGGTCCAAATGGTACACACACTAAACAAATAGAAATATTAAATGAAGTTAAAGGACGGTAGGTTAATAAACAATTATAGAAAAGACCCATTCCGCGTTCTCCATGTCGGCATTTTTATTAAACTTCCTAAAAACGGCACCTTTCACTTCTGTCACATATAATATAGAGTATTTTTTATATTCACACCTCTTTTTATTTATATTTTGACTTTCACAATTTGATTATCACTATCAGCAACTTTTGTTTTGTTGCCCCACTTGTTTTTATTTAAGAAAAAAGATTATATATGGACCGACTCTTTATTTGGCGGGCGTTTTTTTTAAAAAATAATTTAAAAAAATGTTTTTAATTTTGTCAACTTGTTGTGTTTGTATATAAGAACTACAAACACACATTGGACATTATTACATTCTAATAGTCGTTTGTTCTTGTCAACTTTTGCAATTGCTGCAAAATATACATTTCATACAAATATACATGTGTAATATTATTCATTACAAGGTGGCGAATTCGAATGATAATAGGAGGAGGAGGAGTACTAGACAAGATGATGATGATGAACAAGAGATTAATGTGTTTGATACGATGTTTCGAGGGAATATTAATAGAGAAGAAGAAATGTCTGTTATGGTTTCTGCGTTAACTCATGTTGTTGTTGGTCATCATCCTGAAAATGTTGAAAATCATCATCAAAATAATACGTCGATTTCTAGGGGTGTTGGAGAAAAAAGAGGACGTGATGAAGAACAATTATTATTATTACATGGAACTAATTCTTCTCATATGACATTATCATCAGGTATATATTTTCCCCTTCTATCTGTGTTTATGTATGTTGAAGATATAATTAAGTAACAATGTAAATGAGATTGTCATACACTTCAATATATAGTCAGATTAATCTGTACTAAACATGGATCGATCAGAGTATATTCAAAGTCCTTGTTTTGTGGTTTAATCATTTAGCTAGTTGGACTAATTTAGATTCGTGCTTCCAACCAGAAAATCTCTAAGTCTAAACAATATTTTAATGCTAAGTACAGATAAAATATTACAGATGAGATGACAAATGAAGTATTATATATATTTCCTGGTATTCAATCTATTTATGATGTATATTTACATTTTAGCATATGTCTACATCACAAAATTTGTTATTAAGGAAAAGGGTCTGATATATCCCTTAACTTTGTCATTTAGAGCTGATATACCTCTCATTATGAAAGTGATTCATATGTGCCCCTACTGTTGGCTCGCATATGGCAAGTTGAGGGGTAAATTGTTGCATCTGTCTTTTTGTTTTTGTATGGAATGTTTTTGCATGACAATACATATATCGCTTAGGGTTTGTTAGAAACAGTCTTTCTACCTCTGAGATAGACGTCAAGACTCCATTTTATGGTATTATACTGAATATGTTGTTGTCGGTATTGACAAATACATATATATCAAATTATGTTATATAGGTGGTGAAGGTACAAGCATTAGGACAATTACAAGCAGCACATCAACAACAGAAGCAACATTTATATACACTACTTCAACAAACAATGTTCATCAAAATAGCAGTACTATTGATCAATCTAATAATACGAATGATAATCAACTAAGACGACGATACAGAGGAGTAAGACAGAGGCCATGGGGAAAATGGGCAGCTGAAATAAGAGATCCATATAAAGCAGCGCGTGTTTGGCTAGGTACTTTTGATACTGCTGAAGGAGCTGCTAGAGCTTATGATGAAGCCGCTCTTAGATTTAGAGGTAGCAAAGCAAAACTCAATTTCCCAGAAAATGTTAGTTTATTGCCTTCTTCAATTCAACAACCTCCAAATACCCTTTACTCTGTTTCTTCCGAACCCAACCCAATCGTTCACACTTCTTCTCTGTATCATTCCAATTTTATCGGACATTCCTTTAGGGACGTGGAACCTATAGTTCCCATTTCTTCTCTGGATCGTTCCAATTTTATTATTGGGCATTCCTCTAGGGATGAGAAGCCAATAGTTCACACTTCATCTCTGTATCGTTCCAATTTTATTATTGGACATACCTATAGGGATGTGGAGCCAATAGTTCACACGAATCGTTCCAATTTTACTGAACAGTCCTCTAAGGATGTGGAGCCTATAGTTCAGAGTTCTTCTTTGTATCGTTCCAATTTTATTGAACGCATCCCTAGGAATGATCCAATAGTTGATCACATGGTGCAGCAAGGGGCATATTTTCCATATTTTCAGGCAGGTAGTACTAGTCAGAGTACAAGTGGAAGTGATTTTCATCAAGCTACAAATTCTTCTAATTGGTCAAATCATGATCATCCTTCTTCTTCATCTGGATAATTTTATTATAGGCATAATATATCATTTAACTTGGCTTCAGCTGATATATATATGATAATTTTGAGTGTGTATAAGTAAATATTTAAATTTGTCTAAAATTGAACAAATAGACATAATTGTCCTATATGACAATTTTGTGTCATATGTTGTTGTCCTACATGTATGATGTATGTGTCTACTTATTCAATTTTATATAAATTTAAATATTTACTTACGCACACTCATAACTAAAGGACATAAATATCGGCTGAAACAAAGTTACAAGTTTATACTACTAGAATATTTTTTTCATCTTCCTGGAAGATTTTGACTAGCTAGTAGTTATTTTTTTTAGGAATGTATTGGTGAACAAGAATTGGCCACGTGGATGAGGTCCATTTTTTTTTTTGTCATGTTTTGGGATGTATTTAAGTGAGAGGGAGTTGAAAAAAAGAAGTTGAAAGGACTAAATATCTTTTTTTCGTGTGTGAATTTAGAACTACTTATCCTTTTATTTATGATTATGATGCCAATTTTTTGTACATGATTCACTTATATCAATTGTGATATATGCACCAATATATATTATGAAGTATTTCAAATTTTACTATAATGTTATATACTAATACCGGTCATGCCAATATTTTTATTTGTTCCACCATACGGAAGTATACAATTTCACCAAGTTAAAACATTTGAAACTTTTTACTTAATTTAGTTTTTGGTGTCATGTATAAATATGTAGAGGCAGGTCTAAGATTTTAATAGGATAGATGTATTATAATGAAAAAATGGACTTAAGATTTGTATTAAATAGTTAGGTTCTTACCATTAACTGATCATTACATTTTTAAAATTATAGGAGTAAAATTAATATTAAATTCTTCATACAATTTTTAATAATTTCAAGATAGGGAATGTCCTGTAATGTTGATGATAAAGTCGAAGACGATACAATATCTTTGGAATCAATTACCCGTAAGGAAGCATTAATCGTGTCTAGAACTCTTCACAATTTTTTGGTGCAGTTAGAGAAGACACCAGAACTTTTGGATGCAGTAAGAAAGTTTGAGATGAGCTTCAATTAGATTTAAATTTTAACAAAAACCACTACAATCATATTTCACTAAATTTTGTAATTTTAAAAAATTACTAATTTATAATATTAATATGATCATATATTTATATAAGAAGCTTCCAAAAATGTATTATCTTTTTATCTTACCGAAATCAGTATTTTTTTCATTGATCCAAGCCAAGATCGGGATCTAGAAGCCCACCTTTCATCTCACGTGCATTATTAGTTTGACTAATTGTGGTCTTACTATTTGTACTTGCAAACAAAGCACGTGCCCTAAGTCAATTAAATTCGAATTAATAATACTCTACAAGAATGAAATATTCAAAAAAAATCACATACAATATAAGAATCATTACACAACTTCCAGAACTTGAAGAACATTTCCCCTCAAATTTATTCCATTTCAACTTTGGTGTATTGATAGGGCCTTGTAATAAAGATTCTTTTAGTGGGATGAAGGTCAACAATTTAAATTTAAGAATAAAATTCCTATGATAGGATAATATTCTTTTCATATCGATAAATAGAATTTTAAAACACTACATTCATGTCATACAATATATTTATGTATATCTCACTTCAACAGAAAATTCCATGTATACGTGCATGAATAATGTGTTTTCGTGTAAGATATGAGAGGGCTAAGTTCAATTAGTTAAGTTCGAGGGATATTTTTAAGACCGTTAATAGTTCGAGGATGGACACTATAAGAGAAACAGTTTTTAGCATCAATAAATATACACAATAATAAATAGTGCGAAAGTCTTTCCCGACATTAGTTAATTGTCATTGGATCCAATGTCGCTAAAGGCTTTTGAGACATATATAAATAGTGATATGCCGCTAAAAATACATATATAAATAATTAATTGCCGCTAAAGATTATTTTTTATGTAGTGGAAACTAATAATTTGTGACAAGTTCAAGAGTGTTCTCAATACTTCTCTCTAATTTTTTTTATTATATAAAATTGAATAACAATAAAATACTAAGTGTAATCTACAACTTAGGTTTGAAAAGAGTAGAATGTATGCATACCTTATGAAGTAAAAGTGTAAATAATACAAATTTTCAATGAAAATTATAACATAAAATTAGAATAATAAAATATGGCTTTGAGAAGTTGATATAATAATATTGAATGGTGTTGCGCTGAATTTGATAAGTTGATACATATAAAATATCAAAATAGTGTTTGTTGCAATTCTTAAAATTTGAAGAATACACCAAAGAAAAAAATTGATCTTTTTGTAAACAGACGGCAATAGATTTTGCATAATGCAGAAGGTTTGACTGTTTGAGAGATTTCAAAATATTCAATCATAAGCGAATAAAAATTGTGAAAAAGGAATAAAAAAGATAAATGCATAAATAATAGCGCGGGTTCATGTCAATCGTCTAAATATAAATAAAGAAATAAAATGAATAGTCACGTCAAAAAGATACTGTAATTACCTAAAACTATTTCATTTCTCTTTTCAAATTTAGCAATGTCCCAAAAAATTGAGATCTTAAATAATTGCTTTAGTAGCCTTATAATCGAGCTTTGATCCTACTATTTCAACTTACAAAAGCACGTGCCCTAAGTCAATTAAATTCGAATTAATAATATTCTAAAAGAATGAAAATTCAAAAAAAAAAAATCACATACAATACAAGAATCATTATACAACTTCCAGAACTTCCAGACATTTCCCCTAAAGTTTATTCAATTTCAATTTTGGTATTAATAGGGCCATATATAAAGATTCTATTAGTGGGGTCAACGTCAACAACTTATATTTTAAGATCAAAATATTCGTAGGATAATATTCTTTTCATATCGACTAGTACAATAAACAAAATATTTTTTTGGTACAAATAATATTTTTTGAAAATATTCAGAACAATAAACTAAGATATTATATATATTGTTAGAAAAGTTTGATGATTATCATCCTTATATTCTATAGATAAACTGCCAATGAACACTCTTAGGAAATAAGAAATTAACGATAGGATAAAATTTTAAAGCTAAATAATAAAAAAAATTTATGCTAATCTCATTTAACTAGGGATTAACGATGAATTGTAAACGAGAGAGGGGCACACTAAAATGATGTGGTACCTAATTTGAAAGTAATCTAGTAAAAAAAGATTTTTGAGCTAAAATTTAGTTTTTGAGTTTTTCTAAAAAAAAATTAAAATTTATTCCAGAATTTATATTTTACAATAAAAAGAAAAGCTCATCAATTGTGACTTTAGTTATAATTTTATCAGCCTCTCATTAAACAAGCTCTTATTAAAGAGATTGTTCGTAAAATATAAGAAAATTATAGTATTAAAAAATAACTAGACTATCGTTGTTATTCGAGAACTTGTGGTCTAAAACAATCCATTGCATGTAAACCAAATAATGATCTAGATATTATTTTCAAAGTACATATTTTTCACAAAGATAATGTTGTGGTTGAGATCGTTTTAAAAGGGGAAAAGAAACCATTTTCCTTTTGCTAACCCCTAAAGAAATCTGCATTTCAAAATAAAAGAGTAATTTCCCTGGATAGTCATCCATGTTTTGAAAATTACCTAGGAATATCACTTATGTTTGTTTTAGGACCATAATATCACCCAATTTTACCTCTTTTTCTCAAAATATACTTGACAAAAAAAAAATATTATCTCTCTCCTAATAGGATGCCATGTCACTAGGGATGGCAATGGAGCGGGGCGGGTATAAGGCTATGTGGGGCGGGACGGGTTTAAGGTTGTGTGGTGCGGGTCGGATGCAGGGCGGGTTGGAGTGGGTTTTTTAAAAATTAATGTGGGGTGGGGCGGGTTGCGGGTATATGTGATTTTACGTGGGTTCAAACTTAATTTTAACTTTTTACATGTTATAAGAGTGATAGAACATTATTTATTAAGATAATTTCATTAAAGCTACTAAAATATTCAAGATAATAAATGAAAATGGTTCAATAAAAAATAATATAATTTCTTACATGTTTCGCAATTGACCTCTAAAAAATAAAATTTTAAGTCATTATCCTATTAAATTAATACAACTTAATGAAAACATGAATTTATTTTTATGAATTTTATTTGTAGTATCAAACATAACTAGAAAAAGAAAATATTAAAAAAATTATCCATGGCGGGTTCATGCGGGGCGGGTCCATGCGGGGTGGGGTGGGGCAAGTTGAAAATAAAAAGAGTTGTAATGCGGGGCGGGGCTGGGCGGATTAAAAATTTAGTGGGTTAAGCTCAACCCGCACCGCTCCCGCCCTACACCGCCCCATTGCCATCCCTATATGTCACATTATTCCTTTTTTATTATTAACATTTTTTTAATTCCTTTTTTATTATTAACATTTTTTTAAATTCTTTAAAAACATTATATCCTTTGTAGTTTGACAATATGGTTACCTTATTACTCTAATGAATTAAAATATCAACAAAAAGGGTGTTCGAAGTTAAAAGGGTCATTTTTTTCCTTCAAAAAATAAAAACAGTACATCAAAAAAAAAATTAACCAAAAGGGCAAAATTGCTCCTGACAAAAATTGACACCGTTCCGTTAAAAGAAATAAAAAGCAATTTTCTCAAAAAAAAAAATCATTATTTCTTTAAAATCGCTGCTATAGCAGCGTTTTTATATATAAAAAATAATTAAAAGTGAAATCGTTGCTATAGCAGCGATTTTTTGTTAGGAATTAAAAAAAAAACATAAAGAACAAGTTTTAAATTACATAAATTTCCGGCGGCAGCCGTTTAAAAAAAAACAACAAGTTTTTTAAAGAAAAAATTGCTGCCGAGGCAGCGGTTTTCGGTTTTAATTTTTTAATTTTTTTTTTTTAACTTCAAAACTTTTTTTTAAATTTCTTAAACAAAATCGTTGCTATAGCAATGATTTTTATTTCTTTTAGCGGAATGACGTCAATTTTTGTTAGAACAAAATCGCT